ACTGGTCTTCCAGGTGTCTCCATTCTTTATCACTACCTAATTTTTTTGATGCCTATTCTGCTACACTGGTTGGCTGGAAAAGCACCTAGAATCATCTTATCTGCATTTCCCATGTATTACAGGAAGGATTTTTGGTTTTTTCCATGGGTACATGGAATCTGAACTCAAGTCCTCATGGTTAGGCAACAAGTGCTTTTTTCACTGAGCCATCTCCTCGCACTGGAAACATTTATTATTTTTTTTTCAATGTAAAAAAACCTATATGCTACTTTTTTTTAATAGACAGGGTGTTTGTAAAACTAAATGAACAGACATATTCTGACAAATATAATACCCTGTTGTTCTCCAGTCACAATCTGGCAAGCACAGGATTTTAGCAAGGGGGTAAAAAATCCAATTGGCATCAAGATGGAAAACACCTCAAATATTGATTTTTCACGGAATTAAGTTATAAAAGATGGGGTGCTCCAAAGCAACAGAGAAACTCTGTCTTGAAAAACCTAAATAAGTAAATAAATAATAGATGTTGGGGTAATACTAGATCAAACATAACAATATATTTGCAGTTGACAGAAAAAGCAGTTTAATACCTTTCTATATTAAAAAAAAAAACCCTAAACATGCACATAATATTGAATACTAAAGATGAACTGGATCCTCCTAGACACAAGGATATAACTATAAAGAAAACAAAATTCCCGATGACACCCATGAAGCTCAAATTTCAAAGAATATATAAATAACAAGATGAACAAATCCATCAAAAAGTGACAAGTGTGGTTTAAAAAAAAAAAAAATGGGAGCAGTGGGGAATAGGGCAAGGATGAAATTTTAAATGTAATAACTAACTAGAAGGGCTTTCCTGAAAAGGCATCATCTGAGAAAGACCTAAGGCTGGCTTGTGATTAGCTTAAAGCATTTACTAAGCAGGCTCAAAACCCTGGATTTTATTCCCAGCACCAATAAATTAGTAGAGAAAAGACTTGAAAAAGGCAATTTAGCGAACTTGGCAATCCAGACAGACGAAAGGTCTGAAGTTAGTCTATGAAAAACAAAATAAAGCTAGTTATCAGGTACGGTGGTACAGACACTCTGAAGACAGGACTATCACATGTGAAGTCCTCCTTGGGCTACACAATGAGTTCAAGGGTAGCCTGGGCAACTTTTTGAGGCCTATCTCAAAAGCAAAAGTAAAAAGAGGTTTGATGATATAGTTCAATGGATAAGCACCTGCATGCACAAAGCCCTGGGTTCAATCCCCAATACTAAAGAAAAGAGAAAGAAAGGGAGAAAATGGAAAAAAAAGAAAGAAAGAAAGAAAGAAAGAAAGGAAGAAAAAAAAAAGAAAAGAAATGGTTGCCAGAATGCTATAAGCCAAGTAGGACAGCAAATAAATCCCAGGTTAAGTAACGCTTTGTTTGGGAGGAGGAGGGTCATAGATGACCTTGTAGAACTTTGAAAAACTTTAGTTCTTACTCTGGAGCACATGAGTATATTATAATCAGCACTCCCACTCCCACCACTTCTACTCAGAAATAGAAGCAGGACGATTAGGAATTCCAGTAGCCAAAGCTACATACATGGTCAGCTCACTGTCAGCCTGGGCTGACTGAGATCTAGTTCAAAAAAAGAAAAAAAAAAAGCAAAAGAGGACCCTGAAATGGTGGCACACACTTTTGATTCCAGTACTGGAAGGCTGAGGCAGGCAGAACTCTGTGATTTAGAGGCCAGCCTTATCTAAAGAATGAGTTCCAGGATAACCAAGACTACATAAAAAGACTTCATCTGAAAAACAAAAAAAAAAAAAAAAAAAAAAAGAAAGAAAGAAAAAAGAAAAAGAAAATTAAAAAGACATCTGAGAGATGGCTCAGTCGGCCACACTGGCCATTTAAGCATAGGCCTGAGTGCATGAAAAATCCCTGTAATTCAAGAACTAGTGAGGTAGACAGGAGGATCCTTGGTGCAGAAGCCACCCAGTCTAACCAGCTGATGAAGAAACCCCATCTCAAAAAAATAAGATGGAAAAGAGATCAGTCATTGACCTCTGGCCTCCTCAACTACATACTTGTGGGCAAGTGTACGTACATGCACACAGCACACATGCACAAACCTGAGAAACAGACATTAAGAAACAGAAAAATAACAGCATGCTTTGAACCAAACTAATGAGAAATGACCAGATTCTACAGATTTTGAAGACGGAATCAACAGGACTTTCAGACAAACAAAAAATGGGTGGGGGGGGGGCACCACAAATAATGACTTAGTGATTAAGAGTTCATATTGCTCTTGGAGAAGACCCAAATCCAGCTTCCAGGACCCATGCTGGGACGCTCACAATCACCTGTAACTCCACCTCCAGAACAGCTTACACTTCTGGGCTCTATGAGCACCTGCCCTCATGTGCAAATACCACAAACACAATTAAATTAAATACACAATTAAAAATAAAAAATAAGCTGTGCATAGATAAAGCTGGACCTTTAATCCCAGCATTTGTGAGTTGAGGCCAGCATGGTCTAAATAGTGAGTTCAAGGGCATCCAGAACTCTGTAGTGAGACCCTGTCTTGAAAAAAAAAAAAAAATTAAAAAATAAATAAATAGCTGGGCATTGGTGGCGCACGCCTTTAATCCCATCGCTCAGGAGGCAGAGGCAGGTGGATCTTTGTGAGCTTGAGACCAGCCTGGTCTACAGAGCTAGTTCCAGGACAGCCTCCAAAGTCACAGAGGAACCCCGTCTCCAAAAAACAAAACAATAAATCTTGAAGGAATGGAACAGAGAGAATATGGTATAGGAGAATAAAAGGTTAACAACAGCTTCTGGAACATAGATTCCCATTGATGGAGATGGGAAACCGAGGGCTAAGGATGTATGTAGCTAAGCTGAAAGAGTGCTTTTCCATGGAAAAGCTCCACACAAACCAAATATGGTGAATACTTCTGATCTTAAATCAATGAGGGAGAGGCAGAAGGATCACAATTTTGGTCAGACCCTATCTCCAAAAAAACAAAACAAAAAAAAACAAAAAACAAAACTGGGGGAGGGGGCACAAACCAAGGAAGATCCTAATCCCTTCGCTGGCTCTGTGGTGAGTCTAAAATTTTAGTAGATAGATAATGGAAGTCTAGACTTCAAGTACATGTGATATAAAAGCACAAGTTTAACTTAGGAATTATATGAAGCTTTGTGTCTTTTCACATGAGTCACAAATTGAAGCACAATTTCACTCAACATGGCTCCAGAACTGTGTCTTAATTCAGTATTCTGCTCTATGTTCTAGCTACATGCTATCTAATAGGGAAAAACAAAAGACCTCTGCTTCTACCATCCAAGCTCCTATCCCCAGGTAACACTTATACTGACAGCACATTTGGGCACTGCCATCCCAACATCCTCTCAAAGCATTGTATGACTTATGTGAAATTAACATCCAATAATCACAGAAGTTTGTTTGCTCAACACTGTTGATGCTTTCTCAGTAAGTCAACCTTCTTCAATTTTATTTTATCAGCTTCAAAGCTGGCCTGACTATGAGAATCTTTTTCAGTTTTAAGTGAGAACATCTCATAATTTACATTCAGAATACATTTTTATGCTCAGTGTCCCTGCTGTATACACACACACACACACACACACACACACACACACACACACACACAGAGAGAGAGAGAGAGAGAGAGAGAGAGAGAGAGAGAGAGAGAGAGAGATTTTCTTTCTTGGAGACATTCTGTAGTCCTAGATAGCTTGGAGCTTACAGAAACCCACCTGTATCTGGCCTGAGTGTTAGGTTGAAAGACTATGTCACCATGCCCAGCCTAGAAACGATTTTTTTATACAAAGTATTATAACTCATAATGTACCCAACATCTAATAAAACCTAGGGAACATGCTGACAGTGGTGACACACGTCTTTAATCTCAGCACTAGGGAAGCAGAGGAAGGAAGATCTCTGTAAGTTGGAGGTCAGCCCCATCTATAGAGTGAGTTCCTGGACAAACCAGGGTTGTTACACAAAGAAACCCCCCCTATCTTGAACAAAAAAAAAAAAAAAAAAAAATCTTTTTCAATACTGCCGGTGCCCACAAAGATGGATGCACTCTATCTTGGCACAAAGACAGGGAGTTCAAAACTGTCCTCAGCAAGTCATAAAACCTAAAGGTCAAAGGTATGGCTACAGTAGGATGCTTGGCTGTCTTATTCTAACTAGCAACAGACCTGAATCTGAAGTGTGGCTACTCCTGACTCTTAAGACTAGGGAACAAGAAGCTGAATCTGAGGTGTGTCTATTCCTGATCCTCAAGGCTAGGAAACAAGAAGTTGGAAGCTAAGGTGTGGTTACTGAACCCTTAGAATAAGCAAGGAAGAAAAGTCTGTTTGCTCCATATACATGATACTGTGTTCCCCTTGTTTGGATAAGGTATATAAGAGTGGTGAAAATAAACTCCTGGCATTTCAGTATTGACTGATCTGCCCTCCTGACTTTTATTCTGTCTCTGTCTTTTCTTTATCATCTACAGCTAGCCTTTCCCTCATTCACACTCCCCCACTCAGGTACAAACTTGGGGCTGCTCAGCTGGTTCCGATTGCAGCCCCTCAAAGACAGCTCCCAACACAGTACATGCCACCTTACTGCTTAGGTGGTTTTGTCTTTTTAATTAATATAACATAATGTAAACAAGTTTTGTTTTGTTTTTTAAGTTAACACAACTGAATGATATTTATACATCAGGATATGACTATCCAAAACACACAAGTTCCTAACTTTTGACCTTACTGTTAACATCATTATTCAACTAACAGCAAAGGCAGAATCCACCTTAGCAAGAGCTGTACACAAGAACCAAAACAAAAACCTTAACAACAAAGAAACCTGTAAATGAATTAAGATCAGATCATACTGGTCATACATTTTTGCGTTATCATTCAAAAATTAACTCACAGCTATTAAAATGCAGAAACTGGAATGGTAATTCAAAAGAATTAAGAATATATAAAATAGTGCTTGCTTCAGTGCACATATACTAAAATTGGAACGATACAGAGACCAGCATGGACCCTTAGAAAGGATAACATGAAAATTCGTGAAGCGTTCCATGTTTTTTTAGAGACATGAGGGAAGGCCTAGGTCCTACCCCAAATGACTTGACAGATTTTGATGATCCCTTCTGGAAGGCCTCACCCTCCCTGGGGAGTGGGACGGGGGGGGGGGGTTGGGGAGTCATGGGAGGATGGGAGGGAGAAGGAACTGGGATTGATGTGTAAAATAAGAAAAAAAAATTGTAAAAATAAATGTACCAAAAAGAGTGAATAGCCGTAAAGACATGAAATACTAGCAGCCATTGGTCCACCTTGCATTTACAGAGGAAAAAAAACATTAAAAAACATTTTTATCCTGGAATCCTCTGACTTAAGAACTATAAACTCTTGATTCCTAAAGGAATTCTATAATCCTCCAAAAAGGAGTAAAGAAGATAGTTCAATTCCATCTGTAAGTTTATATACTGTATTTTAACCACAGGATTAAATACAGATAATAGCACACTACCACAGCAAATGTGATTTTAAGTACTATGAAGGCATACATGTAATTAAGACAATCACACTTAACACAAAAGGTTGTATAATTCATTAATATGAATGATATATTCTGAAGGTCAATATAATACTAATCCAATTTCTTGGAGTCACATATTTGTGATATTGTTAACAGGATAGGATAGGAGGGAAGAAGGTATTAACTTCCTAATGGGTAAAAGATTCCCCTTTGGTGACAAAAATCTTTTAAGGCAAAGCAAAGCAAACATTAATGTATTAAGTGGTAATAAATATATAAACTTGACCCCAATAGGAAAAAGGTAGCGAATTTCATCACAGGGTGAAATTAGACAACAAAGACAACAGAATATGGTTCACAGCTCAAGGGGGGAGAAAATTAGAATAGCCACTAAGTGATATGACTAAATTTCAAAGGCTCAACTGCTAGGACATACTTTTTGACATTATAAATTAAAAAAAAGCAAAACAAAAAACCAGATTTCAGAGCTAAAGAGATGGGTTTAAGAGCACTGGTTGCTCTTCCTGATGACCCGGGTTCAATTCCCAGCACTCACATGGCAACTCACAATCCTCTGTAACTCCAGTCCCAGGGAATCCATTGCCCTTCTGGCCTGCACAAGGGACTACACACATGTGGTGTACAGACATAAATGCAAGCAAAACCATGAAATTTAAAAAAAAAAAAATCATATTTCTTTTGTTGTCAAGATTTATTTTTCTTATTTTTAATTATATGTAGGGGGGCTATGTACACCTGGGTGCAGGTGCCCATGAAAGTCAGAGGCGTTGGATACCCTGGAGCTGGAGTTACGAATGGTTGTGAGCCATCTGATATGGGTGCTAGGAACCAAACTCAGGTCCTGTGGAAGAAAACAAGTGCACTGGCACAGAGCAACGTCTCCAGCCCTAAGAAACCTCAGATTTCTTGAAGACCATCTATATCTTACATATTCATAGGACTACTTCCAGAAGGATATATCATATTGGGAGGCGTTATTGCTCCACACCAAGTTTAACCTTACAAATCACTCAACTATTTCTAAACAAAAGTGAGTATTGGGGCTAAAGATAGGGTTCAGTGGTTAAGAACACTTGTTTTTAAGAGAGGATCCATAACTCCAATTTCAGTGGACCCAATGCAAAACAACCATACACATAAAATGAAATCAATGAAAATTAAAAATTAAAAAAAAAATTTAAAAAGGTGAATGTTAAAGTAAGCAACCCACAGAAATAATTTAAATAAAATCCAAACGCTAATCTCCTGAGGGCAGGGGATGTGGAAGAAGAAAAAAAACTTTTAAGAATCAAGTAACACTTTATAATGGTTGGGTCTCTGTGAGTGAGAGGCCAACCTGGTCTACATAGTGAGTGTCAGGACAGAGACCCTGTCTCAGAACAAAACAATTAAATAGCACTTTTATGAATATAACACAAATTATTAATTCATCAAGTCAGTAGCTAGAGAAAAATCCTCCTCTCACCCTCTAACATCTCTTAACAAACAACCAGGCCCAATATTATGTGTTTATGAAAGCATTAAAAACACAACACACATAAATCATAATCTGAACTACAATCAGCTATGTGAAATCAGCTCCACCAAGTGTGTAAATATTTACTACATGACATTCATGTTAAGTTAACATCAGCATTTTCAAGGTCAATATTATGTTCGTTCAACTTCTTGGAGTCACACATTTTTATGATATTTTTAACTTCTGACTAAAGCCTCTATCATCACAAGATGCTCACACTGTTTACAAACATCCAGAAACAGCAGCTGGTGTTCCTCTGTCACATCTTGTTACAATAAATGGGAGAAACAATTTTAAACTTCAGGTATATACTTTCTTGAGATATGCTAACAGTAACTTACTTAAAAGCTTTTTCTCAAGCTGATATAAAGGCATGGACACATATGAGCACTTTGGTACAAGGCAGACAAGGTAAAAAATACAAACCTTTATATATGTATACTTATTTGAGCTATCACGCCAAAATGAGTCAAATGCCAAGTAATACTGATCTGATTCTCCTTTTATTTTTCAAGCCAGTTTCAATGCCTTTTCCCATCTCACTCAAAATAATGTAAAAAATCAAACAGAAACTTACCCACACAGGCATTGAGGAATAGCCAATCAGTCTTTTTCAGCCTATTTTTAATCTGTTTTAGTTTTTTAAAGTCCACTTCAAGTTCCTCCTTGCTACCAACAGCACCAGCCAATTCGATCCTCTGAAAATCCATTTTCACTTCAGAGTCTCGTTTGGTAGTTGGAGGCGATCTTCTTTGGCTATTACCACTACTGCAGCTTCCCCTCCATCGAGCTCTGTCTTGTTCGTTTATTATTGAAGAAGCCTCTTCAGTCTCTGCCAACTCTATTGCTTCAATGTTATTAGGTCTGGGATGATCACAAACAACACATTTTTTAGCCTTAGCCCAGTTTTCATATGTGCAAACAGAACAAGTCCAATGCTGGGTCCTTGTATTTAATTTATTTCTATCATTGTATTCTTCACAGGGATCAACAGAAAAAGCAACTGGTCTTGAACCAGATCCTGAGGATTGAGGAGATTCCGTGGGACTCCTGGTCCTACGCTGGGATAAGCATTGAGTACATCTGATTGCTCTTGGCCAGTTCAAATATGTACACATGTGGCATGACCATTTATTTGTGTTTTCCATGCTGTATGAAGACTTAACCCTTGGTCTTGCACTAGAGTCTGGACATATCAAAGGACTACTTCCACCTTCAGTACTGGAAGGATCCCAATCTCTACCAACATCACTTGAACCACTTTTAAATGGATCTTCTGTAATAATTGTTCCACTGGGTCTCTGGGCACGACACATAGTACACTTGATTGCAGATGGCCAATTTTCATACGTACAATATTCACAGGCCCACTTAATCCCATGTTCTGACATTGTGTACTTCTTGAAGTGAGTTATGTCAGGCAGGAAGCTATAAATAATTAGGATACTGTTATTAAAATAATAGCTACACAATTCCACCTCTGAAAATATGCCCCCGAAATAAAAATACACTTCAACTTAGAAGATATTTATTTCTTAAAAGACACATGTAAAATTTCTTATTGGATTAGTCTACTTTTGGGATTTCCAGAGAAATACTGGAGATAAATTCCCAAAGAAGCTCTTAGACTTCAGGATTTAATGAAAGATTACTTTGGACTGCTCAAAGTGAAAGGAGATGAATACAGACTTGTTCTACAGAGGAAGGAGATAAAAATAGGTAAGTCATTAATAGAAATTACTCAATTTCAGCTCAGCTGTCACATTAATTTAGAAGTTAAAAAGACCTGTAGGCAAGGGAAAGAACACAAACCAAATAGTACCTTAGACACATAGCCACTCTCAAGTTACAAACAATGTGGATCATGCTATTTATAGTATGTTTGATCCATGAATTAAGGAGATCAAAGTTTTACCCAATTATCTGCTAAGGAAGAAAAATAGCTTGAAAGTGCTAATTATTCACTGCTTTTAATTAGCACAGATAGAAAAGAAAGATGCTGAAGAGCACTGATCACAATTAACAAAATAACATGATAAACTAGAAATAGTTCTGATATTCTGTATCCTCAAAATCTGATTACATCGGGAACAAAAAAGAAAAACTCCCCATCACCAATACTCTCAGGAAATCCAAATGGATAAAACATCTCTAAGAAAACTATTTGCATAATCATGTCAATGTTTTTAAATGTTTATATTTGATATTTGAAAATTAATACATTAAAACTTTAGCTAATATTAAAAACATACTTGCTATCTAAAAAGTCCTAGAGCTGGGAGTGCTGGCACATGCCTGTAATCCTAGCACCTAGAAGGCTGAAGCATGAGGATCTTGAGACTGATGATAGCTTGGGCTACACAATGAGAGATAAGCAATTCAATAAATATTTCCCAGGCTCAAGAGTGGGCTTGCTAACACTACACTATAAAGAAGACTTTACTGTTTAACAACTAATTCATAAGTGAAACAGTTTACATGGCAAATTTAATGACAATTTAACTACTTAAATTACATTAAACAACTTCTCAATTTTTCAACCTGTTCTAAATTTAGTACCTCCCCCCCCATGACCTATTTTAATTATGAAAGAGAAGTTTCCTAGGCAGAATGATCGGTATTTTTCCTTCTTTCTAAACCTGGAAAGTCAAATCACTTTATAATTATATTCTGTTCCTGCCTATCAAATCTACACCCCATATACAGAGTGACCTTTGCCAAGAGGACAACTTCACCATACAAAGGAAACTATTTAATAGCTAAAATAAAAATCACACTTACTAAGATTTTAGTTTCCATGCTATAACCTCCACCTTGCACATGGTTACAATAAAGGTAAATCAGACCAAAGACAAGATTCAATCTTCATGCTGGCTCAGACTCTGACTTCCTCAGGAGATACTGCAAAACGTGTAAGTGGTTCTGTCTGACTGTGAATAGCTATTCCTGTAAAGGAGACCAAAACTGAATTTCACTTACAGCCTTCTATATTCAAAAGTTACTGTAG